TTGCCTAGGCTATATTATACTGGTTCGTTCAAGCCATTTTTCAAAACTTACAAAGGTAAATACGAACAGGCGAACAAAAGAGAATACAAAAAATTTCTTGCTGTGAATTTTCAGAGCTATATATTTTTAGTATTCATTACAAAATTGTACTAAAAAGTACTGCGTATTAGGAAAGTATATTGTAAATGAAACTGTATCAAACAAGTACAATTGTACCAAAAATGCCAAGACTGTTCTGTATACACACTTTTTTTCTTTTTTACATTTTTACTCTTATTTTGTTTTTCAGCTTCGCTAAACGCACTTCTACCAACGCTTGGCTTACCAAATTTACGCCAATTGATAAAATTTTGCGATTTAAATTCATTTTCAATAATGTAAATAACGATTCGTGTTGAATCGAAAATCGCCTCGTCTGAATAGGGATGGCAACTTTTTCACTTTCAACTTCTCATTGAACTTCGTATTCAACTTTTGTTGCCTGTAAAATCGCTGCGTGCGAATGCCCTATTATACTCCGTCTTTTGTCCGACATAAGGCCTCTTACTCAGCAATCGAAAAGACTCGGAACTGGTGACTAGGAGGGCATTCATTCAACCAACCGAAAAAGACGTGCGTGCCGCATGTACTTATCTCCCAAAACTGGCAAATGCAAATAAGGATTGAAATTTTAAAATAATAAAATTAAAGGGCTTAGGGATTATAACCCTTGCTACGTAGAATTCTCCTTTCTGTGTTGCCGAGGAAGAGAGGACGAACCGCCCTTTTTTGTCAAAAGTGTGTAACACATCTTGTGGATATAACTCCGGCTTCGGTATCCACAGTATTTTTGCACTTAACTCCTTTCTGCGTAGGCGGCCTTCGGCCGCGCTTAGGGATTATAACCTTTACTAAGTGGAATTAAAACAAAACGCACTCCTTTTTTATGTCTTGTACTGCTTTTTTTCTATCGAAAATATAAATGTACTCTTTCCTTTTTGGTTGTTGTTGTTTCCGACAGGGTGGGTGTATGATGTATTATGGAACGAATTTCCGTCATCCCTTGTCAAATTTGGTTTGGAGACAAACCGATTTCGACGTTGTGCCATCTTCAGTGTCATTTTTCGTACGGCGAGGAAACTCATAGATTACGAGTAATTTGTTGTTACAGTTGAAAATTTCCCCTAACAAAATGTACGATAACAAACCATTTCAAACAAATACAAGTGTGCGGAACACACATTTCAACTAAATTAAGCTCTTTGAACGTTTATCTAGTATATATTTTATTCATTTTATTGTTTAACGATGAGGAACACGTTTATAAATTTGTTTATTTACCATTAGAGACCCGAAATAGTATTTATCAGCCTCATCATGTATCTCGAACGATAGGGGACAGAACGATGCGCCTGCAGGCGAATTCGTCTCCGCTTACAATTTTGTAAGTCGAACGATCGCCTTCGTGTAGACTTTACGTCGGTTACGTTGTATTCGTCTAGAACAGCGTTGCCAAATGAAAAATTAAGGTATTTTTATATATTTCCTTTAGAATTTTATTATTTTTCATTTGTTTGGTACATTTTATAGAAAATGGACATCACCGTCAAATGTTATTTACTATTTTTGCCATTCAGAGATTTTTTGTGTAGTTACTGGTGGAATTAGTGGGCTCTGGAGTGGCGAGTAGTGCGTCAACGAACGTTAGGATGATATCGAATAAGGGTAGCCTCCTGAATTGCGTATCGTTGCTGTACGCACAACGAATAGTGCTGGCATGTCAGTCGCTGACAAATTTTCAGAGGTGGACGCTGATGCCTGTGATGCCGAAGGCCTTGAAATTACAAGCGCTGGGCTACTTGGTGCTGCGGCCTTCGACATAGAAATGTTGCGGTCGATGGTTTTTTCGATCTCCGTCGGCCTTGAATGCCGAAAAGGACCCCAGCTGTCATATTTATGTTACGAATATAGTTCGCAATCTTCTTTTTGTGCGGCTTTTGAGGTCAGCCCATGTCTGAAGAAAAATAAACAAATCGTACTTTTGGTTATGTTACTAGAATATTCAGGATTTTTGCTACCAAGTATAAGCTTACCTTCTTCCATTATCTCGCTTCTGAACCCTGGCTCTGTCAGAATCAAACACTGGTACCCCTCTTGCCGATCCGGGTTCTGGTCCATCTCTTGAATCAGCACCTCAAATTGTGTGTTGTGGGTTTTTTAATTGGTGAAAACATAAATTACTATTTTTTGTTATATTGCTTACATTCATTTTGTTTGAAATTTACAAATTTTTCACTTTATTTACATAATTTGGCTGAACGACCCATCTCGACGATCACTAATAACCTATCGTCTCTCTTTCGTCTCCTTTTCGTGTTAGAAAATTGCAAACTAGACGCAAGCAACGTAACGATCAGCTGTTTTTGTGTTGCCAGACGAAAACGAATTACACAGTACCAAGAGACGAACGATTCGTGTGGCAGGCGAAACGAACGCTCGTTTCGAGATACATGATGAAGTTGTATATATGGACAATGACCAAAACGAAGATGGCCGCACGTGTGAGTAACGCGTTGCCAGAATGCGTTTAAAAAAATGTGTCCAGATGTTAAAAGCGTAAGATCATTATAAAGGCGAATATGATAAGTGCTATCTAATTATGACTTTAATAGCAATTATGAGTATTATATGTGCAGATAATGTAATTTTTCAGTAAAATGATAATTATTGATTATATGTATGATTTAAATATACATCATAATTATAGTATAGTCACTTTTGTTGTTGACAAGTTTTGCTCAAAAATACCTCTGCTCCTTTTCTTCGCAACACAGAAAGAGGATTCTACTTTGTGAGGGTTATATTCCTTAAGCGCGGTCGTAGGCCGCCTACGTACAAAGAAGTTTTGCCCAAAAATACTTTTGCTTCTTTTCTTCGCAACACAGAAAGAGAATTCTATTTGTGCGGGTTTTAATCACTAAGCGCGGCCGTAGGCCGCCTACGCAGAGAGAAGTTCCACTCAAAAATATTTCTGCCCCTTTTCTTCGCAAGACAGAAAGAGAATTCTATTGCCTACGCAGAAAGAAGTTCTGCTCAAATTACTTCTGCTCCTTTTCTTCGCAACACAGAAAGAGAATTCTACTTTGTGAGGGTTATAAGTTATATTATAAGAAAGAAGTTCTGCTCAAAAATACTTCTGCTCATTTTCTTCGCGACACAGAAGAGAATTCTAAAAAACTAAGCAAATCGAATTAAACACGTCTGGCTTCTTCTTAAGTTCGCTAGATTGTGCCGTTTTATTTCTTAGATAACATTGCTTAAGGTCTAGACAGAATACAATCTATCGCTTATGGGCTGGTTACACTACTTCATCAATGCTTACCCCATGTTTACACTTACGAGCTACTTTCACAATGCCTACTTGCTTAAATCTACGTTTACATTACTTTTATCTGCACTTATATTGCTAGTAACTACGCTTACAATTCGACCATCCTGACGACTAGAATCCCATGATTCTACGCCGTGTGCTCCTAAATTATTATTATTTTTTTGATTGGTCATACTTCTTGTCGTTTTACATTCGAACCTCGGCTTTAAGTTTGTAATTGCCCAGGTACCCTTATCTGGTATTTGGGTTTGTTGGAAACCCTCTACGTCTTCTATCAAGTAACGATCATTTTCTAAGATTTTGGCCACTCTGTACGGTCCTTTAAACTTTGGTACTAACTTACTTGACACTCCTATTTGAGAGTTGGAGTTTGTTACCACGACGTAACCTCCTACCTTGAATTTACGTGGGGGCAACCGCTTATTGTCCGCATATTCCTTATTATAATTTTGCGCTTTCTGTTGTACTGTTTCGGCCTGCCTCCTGATATCTTGAACTGTCCCAGCTTCATGTACCTGTATTGAACCTAAAACATTTTCTTTGAGCGTGCCTATTATTTTCCCTTTTTGCGAAACCCAAAACAACATTATGCTGGGATGTTCCTTCACTGCTTTGTGCAAAGTGTTGTTCATTGCATATTACCCATATTCTAACGCGTTGTTCCAACTAGTAGTAGTCTTTGAGTCTACTGCTTTCGCTAACATTGACCTAAGCTTTTATTGACGATTTCTACGAGTCCGTTTGCTTGGAGAGAATTTGTTGCCATCTTAATGTGTTGAACGTTATTTACTTTTAAGAACTCCTCGAACTCGTTGGACGTAAAACAGTTTCCCCTATCAGATACAAGGTAACTAGGTCTGCTGTATGCTCGAAAGTAATCTTTCAGGGACTCTAAAGCTTCTTTAGACGCTGTCGTCTTTGCTGGATATAGCCTAACAAATTTTGTACACGCGTCTATTATTACTAATATATTCTTATACTTTGTATTAGTACTATGGATTGGTCCATAGTGACCAATATGAACCATCTGGAAAGGTTTATTTACCTTAGGGATTATTTTAAGCAATCCTTCCTTTTTTCCGTATTTCGCGGAGAACGCAATGCACTTTAGGCAAATTTCTACATGCGTACTTGCCTTTTTCCTAATGTTAGGGAACCAGTAACCTCTACTTATCGTTTATACCACTTTGTCAACGCCTATGTGTCCCAGCTCGTCGTGATATTTGTATGGAACGTGCTCTTTCATTGAGTCTGGTACGTAAAAAAATAAGTTTTCGTCCTTCTTTTTATATACAACCCCATTTCTCATTTCATAGTAGCTACTCTCTGTAGATTCTAATTGCTTTCTGATATTCTTTATGTTTTCATCTCTGTTTTGGCATATAATCAAATTTTCCTCAAGTGTATTTGTATGAACCGTTAAAACGTTATTCAACCTACTGAGCGCGTCTACGTGTTGCATCCTTTTTTCAAATATTCATCTAATATTTTTTGTAACTCTGAATTTTCACCATACGACAATCTTCTAGGAGCGCAACTGAATGGCTTTTTGTTTTCTAAGTGCAGTTGTATTTCTTTCCTAACTTAGGGCTCTTCTGGGTTATCGGCATTTAAATATTTCTTGTAAAATATCTTTTGAAAAAGTTTTTTGTTGTCGTGACTATCTTTACTACCAATCACCACATCTATTTCGTTCACATCTTGCATATCTATTGCCAACATTTCATTTATAGCCTAGCTTAGCTTTTCATGTTCAAAATTATAAACTGTTTTTACATTTTCATCGCTTAAATCTTTTACATTATCCTCGTATCTTGTATCTGTGACTTCATCTGTAATTTCTACATCAAAATGTCTTTATTCAGTACTTTAACAAAACATTTCTTTTTTCCAAAAATTTTCAAATTAGATTTATTTACTCCACAATAGGAACCGGTTACTTCTTCTAGTTGCAGTCGTCTTGGGACTAAAACTTCTTTCGAAAAGCTTATAGGACTTCCAAGAATCGATTAAGCCTTCTACAACCATGTCGACATTAAGTTTAGCTACAATACTTAAATGGAAATAACTAAAACTATGTTCACATATCAATATTATCCCAATCAAAGCTCGTTTTTTAATCACCCCGTTTACACAGGCAAATCTCAGATTAGCCGTCAAATTTATTGTGCTTGTTATTCTCACATCTCAAGGAAAAGTTATGTTTCTTCTCCGTGCCGCCGTGATCCCTTTTTTTTGCTATATTAAGCACTTTAAATATATTTTAACTTAGTATTTTATTAAAAATACCTTTACAAACCTCTTTTACTTGCTACCGTACATTTTTGTTTACTTTCACATTTGGCATTTCTCCTCTCTTTCGCAAAAACAATCGATAAAACTAGGATGGACAACGAAAAGTTATCGGTTAAATCTGAGATTATTTCATAATTACAGATTAACAAGGGACGAATTTTATATGGCTAATCTCTTGTTATAATTACACATTAGGGTGTTAAGCTCGAAAATGAGGATAATTTACTTATATGTGAACCTAGTATTACGAAATTACTCGTTGACTTCTTATATTTTTGGCAGCTGGAAGCGAAGTGTCCGCGTTCGCCGCATGCATAGCACGTACCTGCCTCTCGCTTTTCCTTTTTGCATTCTCTTGCGATGTGGCCTGAGCTGTTGCAGTTGTATCAACGGAGTTTCTCCCCCACTGCTCGTACATTCGAAGTATGCGGTAATTCAATGGTGCGGAACGCTTTTACTATCTCACTAGCCGTTTTAAAGTTCGGTAGCTTCGCCTGTATTTGAAGATGCCTATTCGGTATGCCATCGACTAAGTATTCTACCAGCTCTGTGTCGTTGAGGTTGAGGCCGCTGGCTAACAAGTATTTTTCGTAGTAGTAGTTACCGAACGACTCACTTGATTTCCAACAGCGGTTTTGAAAACGATGGCGCACAACCAGTAGGTTGTCATCTTGCCCGAACACCGTAGCCATTTCTTTCAACACGTCATCTAAATTTCGCAAATACATTTTGTTGGAATTGTACCATTATAAAGCGACGCTTTTTAACTTTAGCCGCATCACAAAATTTAACTTCTTATCGCCCACTTTGAAAACTTCACGCAAATGTAGCTGCTTTTTTCTCTTTTTCGAGCGCTAATTTTAATTTCAAGAGCTCAACTTCCTTTTCGAGCAACCGTATTTTGATCTCAGACTCATCGGTTTGGTTACTTGCCGAAACGCACACTGGGGCACTTTCCCAACGTTGGAACTCGACATCATTTTCGCATACCTGTCTGCCAAAACGACCACTGCCAATACGTAGCAAGTCATCGCCATCGACATATTCCGCACCATTGTACTCGCCCTTATCCGCACCATTTTCTGCGCCGTTGTTATCGCCGTTCGCACCGCCGTTGCAACTTCAATTAAAGTACTAACTTCAAATTCACTTCTATTCATAGTCGCATTTCAGACTGCTACTAAGTAGTTTTAACTTAGTTTTACGATATTGCAAAACGGGTGTGAAAATGTATCGATTTTTCTTTACGATATTTTCGAAAAATTACATTTTTATTAAATAATGTCAAGTTTGATCATCCGTTTATGTAATTTTTACTTTCATTGTACGTTTATGCAAAAGAATAAGGTATAAGTTTCTTGTTAATTGTGTGAAATAGCCAGAACTACCGCAATGATGTGAAGTCGATATTTACCGAAAGCATGCTGTGAAACATACAAGCACATATCTAAATGTTATGCACTAATTTGCTTTAAAAGAACAAGCTTGAAGTTGACTTATTATTTGAGCATTTATATATGTAAATCATTCCAATTATAAAATTGTGATGTAACCTTATTCGAATTGTAATACGCATTTTATTTCACATTCCGATTCAAATGGATCGCTCTTTGTAAAATTCAATTGGAGATCATTCAATATTATCAAAATCACGCTCTGCCAACTTAATTTTTACATATTTCTTTTTTTCCCTTAATTTAATAAAATACTTCTTCTTCTTTGGCGCTGTAACCGCCTAAGCGATTTTGGCCGAGTTCAGCAAAGCACGCCAGTCGTTTCTCCTCTGTGCCAAGTGAAGCCACGTCCTTCTCCACCTGATCTTTCTATCGCAGTGGGGGCCTGCCTCCCTCTTCATCTGCTACCACCAGCGGGTTCCGAGTTGAATACTTTCAGAGCTGGAGCGTCGGTGTCCATTCGAACGTCATGACCAAGCCAGCGGAGCCGCTGTATTTTAATTCGCTGCACTATGTCCATATCGTTGTAAAGCTCATACAGCTCATCGTTCCATGGTATGCGGTACTCGCCGTCGCCCACGCGTAAAGGCCCGTAAATCTTCCGCAAAATCTTTCTCTCAAACACTCCAAGAGCCGCCACATCGGATGTTGTCATTGTCCATGCTTCTGCGCCATATACCAGCACGGGCATGATGAGTGACTTATAGAGCGTGGTTTTCGTACGTCGAGAGAGGACTTTACTCCTGAATTGCCTACGCAGTCCAAAGTAGCACTTGTTGGCAAGAGTGATTCTACGTTGGATTTCAGTGCTGACATTATTATCGGTGTTAATGCTGGTTCCCAAGTAAACGAAATTCTCTACTTTCTCGAAATTGTAACTGTCAACAGTGATGTGGGTGCCAAGGCACGAATGTTGCTGACTGTTTGTTTGATGACAGGAGATACTTCGTCTTGTCCTCGTTTACCACCAGACCCATTCGCTTTGCTTCCCTATCCAACTTGGAAAAGGCAGAGCACACTTCGCGGTTTTTGTTACCGATGATGTCGATGTCATCGGCATAAGCCAGCAATTGTACGCTCTTGTAGTAAATTGTTCCTGAGCGGTTCAGTTCTGCAGATCTTATTATCTTCTCCAACATCAGATTGAAGAAGTCACAAGAAAGGGAGTCGCCCTGTCTGAAACCCCGTTTTGTGGCGAACGGCTCGGAGAGGTCAATTCCAATTCTGACGGAGCTGGTGGTATTGCTCAACGTCATTTTACACAGCCGTATGAGTTTTGAGGGGATGCCAAATTCAAACATGGCGGCGTATTGGCAACTCCTTTTAGTGCTGTCAAAAGCGGCTTTAAAGTCGACAAATAGGTGGTGAGTGTCGATCCTTTTCTCGCGGGCCTTTGCCAAGATTTGGCGTATTGTGAATACCTGGTCTATGGTGGATTTGCCAGGTCTAAAGCCACACTGATAAGGCCCAATCAGTTCATTGACGATGAGCTTCAGTCTTTCACACAATACGCTCGATAAGACCTTGTAGCCTATGCTTAGCCAAGGTGCGGGGCCACCTTTCTTGTGGATTGGGCTGAGCACACTTAAATTCCAGTCGTCGGGCATGCGTTCATCTGACCATATTCTGCACAAGAGTTAATGCATGCACCTTATCAACTCCTCGCCGCCGTACTTGAATAGCTCAGCTGGCAGGCTGTCAGCTCCAGCGGCTTTGTTGTTTTTAAGCCGCGTTATTGCTATACGTACCTCGTCATAGTCAGGCGGTGGAACGTCGACTCCGTCATCATCGACTGCGGGCTCGGGTTCTTCTTCTCCACAACTTTTTGTGCTGCTGCGGAAAAGTGTTCCCTCCATCATTTAAGTACGCTCTGGACATCAGTTACTAGGTCGCCATTATTGTTCTTACAGGAGTGCCCGCCGGTCTTTAAACCTTCCGTAAGCCGCCTAACTCTCTGGTAAAATTTTCGGGCATTCCTCCTGTCGGCCAGCATTTCAAGCTCTTCGCACTCACGTATTTTGGCCTCTCTCTTCTTATTGCGGCAAATACGTCTCGCTTCCCTCTTCAGATCCCTATTGCGGTCCCACATAGCGCGCGTTGCGCCCGATCGCAGCGTGGCCCTGTAGGCGGCATCTTTTATTTCTGCAGCTTCCTGACACTCCTCATCGTACCAGTTGTTCTTTCGGGCTCGCTGAAATCCGACTACTTCTTCGGTGGCGGTACTTAATGAGCGGGTAATGTGGTTCTATAGCTCGCATATGTCGGTTTGTTGAAGAGTGCTCTCTGAGAGCAGGTGTGAGAGTCGAGTAGCGAAAGCGCTGGCTGGTCCGAGTCGATGTTTGGGCCTCGGAGTGTGCGTACGTCTAAAACACTGGAAGCGTGCCTTCCGTCTATCACAACATGATCGATTTGGGTTCTCGTTTTTCGATCCGGAGACAGCCACCTAGCTTGATGGATCTTTTTATGCTTGAACCTAGTAGTGCATACTACCATGTTTCGGGCCCCGGCGAAGTCGATCAGCCTCAAGCCGTTGTCGGACGTTTCGTCGTGTAGGCTGAATTTTCCGACGGTGGTTCCAAAGATCCCTTCCTAGTCCACCCTGGCATTGAAGTCGCCAAGCACGATTTTGATATCATGACGGGGGCAGCGCTTGTACGTGCGCTCCAAGCGCAAATCGAAGAGATCTTTGGATGCCTCATCCTTCTCTTCCGTCGGGGCATGGGCGCAGATGAGCGAGATGTTGAAGAATCTCGCTTTGATGCAGATTGTGGCTAGACGCTCGTCCACCGGGGTGAACGACAGTACTAGGCGACGGAGTCTCTCTTCCGCCACAAATCCAACTCCGAATTTGCGCTCCTTTACATGGCAGCTGTAGTAGACGTCGCAAGGCCTTCTTCCTAGTTACGACTTAACAACAGCTGCAGGCGAAACTGGCACCCCTATTCTGCAACTGTTTCGTATTCGGAGTTTGCTACGCATCGTAGAAATAGTATGCTGCAATCCGAATCGTATTTTCGAACTTTCGAAATTCGTAACAATGGCGTGCCTAAAAACGAAAGAGTAAGCTTATTTGCGTAATTTTGTACGAAAACAATTGTGTGTCGGAGGCGAAATAAAAGGTGTATATCTATGTGTGTTTGCAAGAAATATTGGTGGTGTTTATTTAAACAGATAAACTTGCCTTTCGCATATACGTATATTTTTATCCACTGCTTTATATAAACGAGCAAAAAAAGAATCTTTGTTGCCCCTTATCGAGAAACTTGGGTTTAGTTATTTGTACGATTTTCGGTTTTTGTGTCCAAATGCATAACCCGAATCCAAAAACTTTAACATACACGTGTAATCAAAGGATTCAAATTTTATTTAAGAGAAATGTTTCAAATTTCCTACCACTGGCTTATTAATAAACTCGGTTTGCACTTTGCACTTTTTTTGAAAATTTCGACGTGGGTTCCGCGCAAAAATACTGTGGACGGCGTAGCCGGAGTGATATGCACAAGAAATGTTGTATACCTTTGACATGCGGAAGCCCCTCTTCTCCGCAACACAGATTCTACTTAGTAAGGGTTATAAGCGCGGCCGAAGGTAGAAGCAAGCGCAACAGGTGGTGGACCCAACAAAGTGCATGCTTTTAATGGCTTGGAAGAAGGTGTTATTGCATTAACTGGATTGAGAACCAGAGCTTCAGGCATAGGAGGAGTTCTGGCTTATGGTTCAACAATTCAACCAAAAGCTGACATAGATGCGCCCATGGTTACTATGCCCGACAGCTCCGCATACCTTCCTGAACCCATTGCCATAGCGCCCGCTTACTCTGATGCTATAATTGCAAATACATCTGTACGCGATTAAGTGGCAACGACCAGCTTTATCGTCTGCACTCTGCACAAACCTTTAGTGTCATTCGCGGCTGCACTCTGAACTAGCCTTAAGTGTCATTCGATTATTCATGTTTTGCATACATACATACATACTTCCATCTTTATATATAATATTCTTGAACCTGTAAATATCATAAAATCTAACGTTAACAAGTCACGCTATTGTACCGTTTGTAGCCTTCTTTAAAGACGAATTTGCAAATAAATAAGTGCCATTATATTCCCGCTGGTCGGTGTGTACAAACATAATCGGTTTTCAGTTGCTTTTATCGTACATATTTTTGGTGCCTCCTGTGAGGACTGAAAGCGCGGTTTTTTATTGTCAAAGTTTCGTATAATCTACGCTGTAAAATAAAACAAGTTTGCGGAACTATGGCTGCAATGAATATAAGAACAGCGGCGAGGAGTTCTATACTACGCATCAGGGCGGAGGTGGAAACCGAAGGTTATACCGCGGATTAGGTGCAAGTGGAGCACACCATCAGCATTCAAACCGGGCACTATAATCGCTTCATGGACAATCATATCGCGCTAGTGGCTGGAGCCACTGACGAAGAATTGGACGCTCATGAGGAGCTACTAGCGCAAGTGGAGGCGGCTTATGGTAGTGCTGTCACCGAATTGCAACGCATGCGTGCCGGCTCAAATGCCACGGGGCACTCTGCATCTAGCCGGTGCCAAGGTGAACACCGATTAGATCCCGTCAAACTCCCCACGTTCGATGGCCGACAGGAAAACTGGTTGTTGTTTAAGGACATCTTCGAGTCGATGGTAAATAATCGCACTGATCTTGACGATACTTACAAAATCAGCCGGCTAAGGCAGTGCGTCGATGCGCAAGCGGTGCCAATGGTTGGCGGCGTATACACTGGAGGCTACGACCAACTATGGGCGGAATTGAAGAGGAGGTACGACAATCCCAGGCGTTTGGTTGAGTCACATGTGAATCGGTTGTTGGACTTGCCTGAACACCCAGCACTTACGCAACGCAATGTTCGGAATGTAATCGATGTAGTACGCAGTACCTTACGTGCACTTAACGTGATGGGCTTGGTCACCGACCATTGGGACGCCATCGTTTATCCTATTGTTCTCCGTAAATTGCCAACATCGGCGGTCACGCACTGGACCATTCTGAGTCATTCAGACCCTCTGCCGCAGCTGCAGAAAATGCTTGAGGAGATTGAGACCTATGCTGACACTTTAAGGAGCAGCTCTACCGTACCGCCCAGGTGCCCAAATCTTCAAGCGCCAACATGAGATCAGCAATGACCTGCCCACGATGCGCCGAGCCACATCAGTATATCAAGATTCCCTCAATTTCGAGCATTAAGTCTGGATCAACGGTTGCACTGGGTACGCCAAGCAACGTTATGCTTCAACTGCTTGGGACTAGGTCACTTGGCCCGTGAGTGTAACTCGGGGAATTGCAACAACTGTAAACAGAAACACAACACCTTGCTTTGTAAGGCAGCTCCGCAAGGCGAGCGGTTACCTACAAACACCAGCTCAGAAGCGCGACCAGTGTCCGTACTCGAGCAACAATCGCCATCAACCAGCGCTACTGCGCCTCAGGTCCTGCCCCGTCTGGATGCTGTCAAGTCTCTCCTGGCGCAATCCGAAGGAATCGTCCTACTAGCCACTGCCAAGGCGCCCATCGTAAATGGGTGTGGGGAGGAAGTATCGTGTCGTCTCTTGTGTGACATGGGTTCACAGGTAGGCTTCATTACGGAGCCATTTTTTAAGCGTTTGAATCTCCACAGAAGGCGTTACACATTGACGGTAGAAGGTATTGGTTCGCAGAGGGCAACTTCTTCGCGCGGACAGACGACTCTGGTGATGCGATCATATCACGATGCAGAATTTGAGTGCCGTTTTGATGCCCACATTTTGCCTAGTATAACTTCGACGATTCCCGCATCTCCAATTCACACGAGCGGGTACAAACACTTACACAACATACCACTGGCTGATCCGACATTTCACACGCCAGGAAGCATCGATGTACTCATTGGAGCGGACATCATGGGCGTGCTTCTCCTGGGTGAAACTATCACTGGTGGGCCTAAGCAGCCGTGCGCACTCCATACGCGTCTCGGTTGGGTCATATGCGGCCATACATCGCCACGCTGTGCGTCAGTCCCCGCCTTGGGCACACCGACCGAATGTGCTACCGAGGAGAAGCGACTCGATAAGATTCTTCAACGCTTCTGGGAACTGGAGGAGGTTCCTCGCCCGAAAACGACCGATGAAATTTGCGAAGAGATTTTCCAACGAACCGTATCGCGCAAGAGCAATGGCCGATACATAGTGCAGATCCCATTTTCTCCGGATGCGCCTGCACTCGGTGATTCCTACGGCAAGGCGCTGGGCCACTTTTTCAACCTTGAGAGACGTCTGAGGGGCGATGATGACTTGCGCCAGAAGTATGTTCAGTTTATGTGCGAGTACGAGAAGCTCGGCCACATGGAGAAGATCACGCTACAACGAGATGATCCATCCCACGCCTACTTTATACCGCACCATGCTGTCACCGCGAAATTCCGTGTGGTCTTCAACGCTTCGGCGAAGACCAGCAATGGCGTCTCCTTGAACGACACTCAGCTGGTTGGGCCGGCAGTTCAAGATCCACTAGTTGACATCCTCTTACGCTTTCGTCGCTTCCGCGTAGCTGTCACGGCTGACATCGAGAAGATGTTCCGGCAAATCGAAGTGGACTCCAGGCATCGATGTTGGAAGCAGATCCTCCGGCGGGAAAGCCCTAATGACCCGCTCCGTGCGTATCAACTGAAGACTGTCACCTACGGTATGGCTTGCAGCCCTTATAACGCTGCTCGTGTTCTGAACCAGTGCGCCATTGACAATAAAATCGTGGTTCCTGATGCTAATCGAGCTGCAGCTGCACGGGCAGTATCTTACGCAACTTTTATATGGATGATCTCCTGGATAGCGCTGACACGCCAAATGAAGCAATCACGTTAGCGCGAGACATTTCCACCATATTGCAACAAGGCCACTTTCGACTTTGCAAGTGGAAATCCAACGATGTGGATGTGCTCTCGGCGACATCTGGTTCAGAGGCATCCAGCTGCACACTTGGCTTAGGCGACACTGATGCCAAGGTTCTGGGGCTTTACTGGGGACCAGTCAATGATGTGATTCTTTTTCGGGTAACGCTGCCAGATGCTAACCCTATCCCTACCAAACGTCAGGTATTGAGTGAAGTGGCCAGAATCTTCGACCCTCTTGGACTTCTGGCTCCAGTAACAGTGACCGCTAAGATGATGATGCAGTTAACATGGGCCGCCAAGATAGATTGGGATACGCCCTTACCACCAGAGCTACGCGAGAAGTGGCTTAAGTTCCGAGGCAGCCTTCCAGCTATTAGCGCTTTCCGCATATCACGATGGATCGGAATGACCAAGTCAGCAGCTACCACGCTCCATGGGTTTTGCGATGCCAGCGAACGGGCGTACGCCGCTGTCATATATTCACGAAGCATCGAACCCGATGGACAGGTGAGAGTGAGACTCGTAGCTGCACGAACTAAGTTTAATCCACTTAAGGCAATCACCATTCCGAGGCTGGAATTGTGCGCCGCTCACTTGCTTGTAACTTCTATGGTGAGTGTACGCGTGGCTCTTCAACTCAGCAAAGATCAATGCACCTATTGGAGCGATTCCAGCATAGCCCTTGCTTGGATACGCAAGCCACCAAACATTTTGATGCAGTATGTCTCCAATCGAGTGGCTTACGTCCAAAGGAACTCCAATCCTTCAGATTGGCATCACATAAGCAGCAAAGACAATCCTGTCGACTGTGCCAGCCGCGGCATGACACCAGCGGCTCTTCACAATTTTTCCTTATGGTGGAATGGGCCAGGCAACATGTACGAAGACAATCTTATACCAAGTGAGATCCCACTTCTTGGCGACAGCGAGCAGCAAGTGCACGATGCCGAACTGAGGCCACTTCGAACACATATCTGCACTCTGACCATCCCTAAGATACAAGTCCGGCGGTGTAATGGGTCACTTACCACATTCATTCCATTAGTGGAACGCTTCAGCACTTTACAGCGAGTTTTGCATACCACAGCCTACGTGCTACGGTTTCGGCTAGCGGGCAGACCCTACTGGCGTACGCCAGTTATAACGGCAGATGAAATTCAGCAAGCTTTTGAAATTCTTGTTCGAGAAGCGCAAGGTAATTATTACAATTCAGAAATTAATCATTTGCGAGCTTCTTCCAGCGTTGGTGCTTCGAGTAAGTTGCTCTCTCTGAACCCTATCCTGGATGACGCTGGTGTGTTAAGGGTTGGCGGCCGACTGAGGAACACAGACCTCACGTATGAGCAGCGCCATCCGATCATCCTCCCTAGAGAATGTGTCCTAGCTACGCTTCTGGTCCGCAACGCACACAGGATTACAATGCACGGCGGCATTAGGGAGATGCTACAGTACCTCCGACGGGATCTCTGGATTGTGCACGCTAGAGTCTTGGACAAGCGGTGCTTACATCAGTGTAAGACCTGCAAGTTACACCAAAGAGCAATGCAACAACAACAAATGGCTGATCTACCTCGCTCTCGAGTAATGGTTGCGCCTCCCTTTTCCAACGCTGGGTTGGATTACGCCGGACCATTCCTCGTCCGCCATGGTGGTAAACGTTCTACCACCACCACCAATACGTATGCTGCGATCCTCATATGCATGTGTACAAAGGCAGTGGCCATAGAACTGGCGGAAGGCCTGAGCACCCGAGCATTTCTGGACGTCTTTGATCGATTTGTGAGTCGTAGAGGATATTGCACCAATCTCTATAGCGACAATGGCACCCAATTTGTGGGGGCAAACCGTCAACTTCAAACTGACCTGGTCGACTGGCACAACACTTATTCCAAGCAACAACTCTCTGATGCAGGCGTCCGCTTGCACTTCATAACTCCTTCCGCTCCTCATCAAGGAGGCTTATGGGAGGCTGCAGTACGTTCGGCCAAGAAGCATCTCAAGCGCGTCATTGGTGACGCTGTTCTCCCGTTCATCCAACTCAGTACCCTGCTGGTACGCATTGAGGCATGTCTCAACTCGCGACCCATCACCGCTCTTCATGACGATCCCGAAGGCGGCGCCGCGCTATCACCCGGAGACTTCCTCATCGGCCGCCCATTGAATTCTCGTCCAGAGGCCACCGTTCCGGAAGCTCCGGACAATCGGCAACGCATGTTGCAACATTTTTGGCACCGGTGGAAGGAGGAATACTTGGTCCAGCTGCAGGCTCGTAGCAAGTGGGCCCGACCTACGCCAAATCTACAAGTTGGTGACGTCGTGGCCATCCAGCAAGAGCAGCTTCCTCCATCTCGATGGCGCATCGGTCGCATTACAGCAGTGCATCCGGGGAGTGACGGGCTGGTGCGCGTAGTCACCATCGAATCCTGCGCATTCGAAAGAGGCTTCTGTCGCAAACATTTGTGTCAGCGCCCAGTCCAACAAGTATGCCGTATCCTTCAAGCCCTCGAAAGCATTCTAAGTCCGGAGGACTTAGCCGGGGAGGATGTACGCGATTAAGTGGCAACGACCAGCTTTATCGTCTGCACTCTGCACAAACCTTTAGAGTCATTGGCGGCTGCACTCTGAACTAGCCTTAAGTGTCATTCGATTAATTATGTTTTGCATACATACATACTTCCATCTTTATATATAATATTCTTGAACCCGTAAACATCATAAAATCTAACGTTAACAAGTCACGCTATTGTACCGTTTGTAGCCTTCTATAAAAGACGAATTTGCAAATAAATAAGTGCCATTATATTCCCGCTGGTCGGTGTGTACAAACATAATCGGTTTTCAGTTGCTTTTATCGTACAACATCAGAATCCATAATTTTCCTCAAAATATGTAAAATTAACCAATTTTACAATAAACAAGCACATGATGAGTGTTTTTTTTAATTCCTTTCCACTTTGTTTTCCGTCATTCAGCTATCTTCGAAAAACAACTGATAGCTGGCAATGCTGCACATGTTTCCGCAAGGGTTGCAGCATATGGATTTTTCGTTTTACGAATTACGAATTACGAAAATTCGGGTTACGGATTACTTACTTATTGGTATGGTTTCGCGGACCACTTCTGATGAAAACGCGTCAGGTGGTCTAAAAAACTTCACAAATCGAATTAAACACGTCTGGCTTCTTTTCTTTCTTTTGGTTTTCGTTTAGATGGCTGTGGTCAGCAAACCACATTGCCAAATCAGTCAAT